AGTAGTAGTAGTAGTAGTAGTAGTAGTAGTAGTAGTAGTAGTAGTAGTAGTAGTAGTAGTAGTAGTAGTGAAAAGACAGTTTGAGCAGAGATGTGTAAACATCTTCACAGTGTGCCTTTGTTGACAACCAATAACAAATGAAGAAACGACATCAGATAAAGTGTGCCGATTATTTAAAGTCCACAAGAACTGAGCACACTCACAGGCAAACGTGACGGTCTTGGAGACAGAGGGACCTGCTTGACCCAGAGAAGACACTGAACGACAAGTCAACGTCTGGTCATTGTTGTTGTTCCCTGAAATGTCAAATTATAATGCACCCTCAGGTATTTGCTTGCATAATTAGGAATATTTGTTTGTATTTAGAATGAGCCTTTACCGTCCTGGTACTGGATTAAAGAAGCAGGTTTGGGTATTGTTTTACTTAAAAAGAACAAGAAAACACGATCACAATAATAAAGGTGTCCCCCGGGTGGAGAATAGGTATACCAGTTGTGACACAAAGGAGCTCAGGACAATAGTACAATTAGTGTAACTTATTAGAAAAATATCAATTTCCATGTTATAACTTTATGAATGGACGAGTTTTCAGTGAATTGCTACTAGTTTACAATCTTATAAAAACAACTTTATATCTAGATCGAACCATGTGATAGAAACAAACAAAAACAGTGAAACACATATCAACAGCACATTATTGTACATTGCAAATGGAGAAAGGAATTTTAAAAAACCTCAACATCAATTTTGAGAAAATGTTTGGCATCAGAAAAGGTACCATCTTTTTTTTTGCTTCAACGTGATATGGTAACAGGGAGGAGAGGGGGAATGCAGGATGGAACAGATATAGGAGGTAGAATTTGAATTGGAAAGGTCATAGGTTAAAAACCATCTTATGGTGTGCAGTGTATGTCTGAGAAAGATATTGCTGACCTTAAAGTTATAGTTGTTGTGGGGTTGTTTTTTTAATAGTATCTCGTAGATTTCAACTGTTGGGACAACATAGATGACCTGGCTACAGGTTCACAGGCACACCACAACACTGAAATTTCCACAGAGAAAAATCAATATCAGTCTGATTTTTCACTAAGATTGATACTCTTTGTCGCTCCACTTTGTAATCTCCATTATGTGGATGCTGCTGCTGTCTGTGACATCCTGTAGGGCATTTCAGCCTGAAATACTTCTTGGACTTCATCACATTCCGATAATAACTGGCATTAGGTCATAGACAGACGTGGAACAGGTAAACAAGCCCAACGACTAACATGCTGCAGTGTTGTATATCTCCCAGCCGTACTGAGGCCACAAGAAGGAAAACAAGTGGCTGAACAAGACAATCATTCGGAAGTAAAAAGAAATACTTAATTCTTTGACTTGAAATTCTAACTCACCAGGGTTGTTGATATTCCCAGAGACGACAGTTCCTGAGCCCAAGGTAGACCCGCCTTGAGACAGAACAACTGTGCCTGCAGGAAAACCCTCAGTTTTCTGACGACATTCACAAGTGGCTGTTGACCCGGACATGATGTAGTTACCGCTGACCTTTGCTCCGGAAGGACAGTTCACGATTTCAGGGACGGGATAATCTGATAAAACAATGGGAAAAGACTTGTGGTCACCCACGCTGCAGTCTAGGTTTACAAAACATCAACCAAATATAGTATTCACAACACAGACATATTATGCCAGGACTGTAGTTAATGTAGATCCTTATACTCGTACTTGAAATTTCGGTCAGAGCTTTGAGTCAGAACAAATAAATCAGAATTTCATTTGGTTTTTAATCGCTATTCTTCTATAAAAAGAAGTAATCAAGGCATATCTTCTGAAGAACTTTTTCTGAGATCATAAAAAACAATTAAATGTGTAAGTAATTCCCATTGATAAGTAGATTTAGAGGTAGTTGAATTTTTACTGTACCTCAAAGTAATACTTTCCAAGTTTTTTTTAAGGCAAATGATGTTGCATGAAAAGAACACTATGTAACCGATCAACTTTCAATTCAGTTCTCCACTTGTATATTTCCATTGAGCTTCATTCTACATTTCAACAATCCTTAAAGTAATAGAAATAACATTCGTTATGAATATAACTGAGGATAATAAGACAGGCATTCTGTACTCTGCAAATCTGTTAATCCTCATGTGTAATCTGTTTAACGAACTCCTCATCACTGCTGGATCAGTTCCTACAATTATAAACCATTTGCCGTTTCGTTGTTCTATTTATTTCATGCTTCGGCATAAAGACAAATACTTAATTTCATGCAAAACCATGATATCAACGGAGACAGATGCATTGTTTTAGGTTCCCATTATTTCAGGAAAAAGACATGCTTTCCATTCAATTCCCCTGTTGGGAAAATATCTCATTAGCATCTCAATCTTTTTTCAGGAATGAGACCCACACAGCTGATAGCCTTTAACTCCCGCGACCACAACTAAAGGCACCTTAGAATCCTCATAATACAATTAACAAATGGAAAAGTAGTTTATTATCAATATTAAAAGAAAATTGGAGCTGAAATGATTTAAGTAATGCCACAAACACTCAAATACACTTTCATGAGGAGTCTATGGGAAACATGAGGAGAGTCGCACAATGGAGGTCGTGGGGATATCAGTTTTAAAAGGTTGCTTAATCAAAACTTCCGTTCTGTTGGACTGTTGGTTCCATAATTTCTTTTGTTTTTTCCCCTTTAAACTAATATAAATAATAAACCAATAGTCAGAAATAAATGAAAGTATGATTTTTCAAAATTTGAAAATTAATGTCTTCACAATGTCCATTTTTTTACTACATCTATTTTACCTTTGGACTCCTCATACATGAAAACATACTCACGTACCAACACATACACACTGGCAGAGGTACATACAGGCACGCAAACACAGACACACATCAACGCACCCACACACGCACACTCACACACACACACACACACACACACACACACACACACACACACA